TGTAGGTAGTTATCACTACAAGGTATGCTGCAAGTGATACATATGATTACCAAATGGTTACTGGTATGTTTATTGGGGGTAGTCCTCATTAACTTCAGCAAAACTTCTCATTACAAACTTGGTTATCAGCTCATTTTTTCACGAGGGTATGTGGCACGAAATAAGTAATAATTTTGTAACCCACAAAATATTTCGTTCGACATTCCCTTGTTAAAAATGGTTTGGAAACCAGATTTCCAGTGTATTTTTTACTATGCAGTGGTCTAGGGTATCATATAGTCGGCTCCTCCCAACCCAATTAATGTTTCTGTTTTTTTTTTTTGCTCTTTATTTTCCTTTTTCTCTTTTGTGATTTAGAATTAATTGAACATCCGATGAATTTCGAATTTATGATTTATTACTGCTAATATATCATCATCATCATGATCAGTATCAACTTAAGCGCTAGAAAGTTATGTTCGATGCTAAAACATTGTTCTCAATTTCGGTGAAAGCTAAGGTAATTTATGGTACAAAAATGGTATAGTGACAACAAGCGGGAGGTGGCGAAATGGAGTTTTCATAAAAAACTGTGCTTATTTTAGTAGAAAATATTATGATGTTTTTTTTCCAAACCTTATATGGAAACTATGATATTTTTTGAGTTGGTGTTATCCGAAGGAGTATACATATAATTCCACTAGCAAGTGCCCGCTATTTCATCAGAGAAAAGTTCACCTTAAAATTTAAGATTCGTTTTCACCAGTTCGTGTCAGGCCTTTTTTGAGCACTAAAAATGTACAAAGTTCGACAAAATTTTTAAACCAAAACTTCATACATTGTACTAAATTTTCAGACTTTCAAATTCCTTTTACGTAATTAATATTAGGTAAATTGTTACCTTTTGCACCAAACGGCGAGGATATTAATGAAACCATTGAATAATGGACCAACACATTTGCAAAATCACCTCCATATCTCAATCCCAGATACCAACAGAGACTCCAATCTTAAAATTTGGGATTCTAGCTTTATCTCTTCACTCAATACCAAATTTAGTAATATTTAGTACTTTTTGGTATAATTTTAGTACTCTTTTGTAAAACCACTTCAATCTCTTTATCACACACACCAACAGTGACATCTATATCATATTTCGGGATTTCAGATCTATTCCTTTAACCAATACCAACTTTAATACTATTTTGTACTTTTCGTGCAATTATAATACACATTTCCAAAACCACCTCTATATCTTAATTTCAGATACCAAGATCAAATGTGAGGATACCAGCTCTATCCCTTCACCCAATACCAAATCTAGTACCATTTAGTGGTTTTCGTACAAATATAGGACGCATTTCCAAAACAAAGCCAAATGTGAACAAGTAAAAAAACATTAAGTTCGGCCGGGCCAAACTTTTAATACCCTCCACCCTAGGGTAAAAGAACATTAGAAAAAATGTGGCAAAAAACATTAAAATGCGAATATCGGGAGGTACCGTTATATAGGGGCTACACCAACACGTGCACCTATAATTACAATGTTTGGCCACACGACCTAGGACCCATTATGACCCACAAATACCAACTTTTACACAAATCAGTGAAAAAATATGGCATAAATCATCAAAATACCGAATATCGGGAGGTACCGTTATATGGGGACTATACCAGAACGTGGACCTATACATGCAATGTTTTGCTACACGCTCAGGGACCCGTTGTGACCTACAAATACCAATTTTCAGACAAATCCGTGAAAAAATGTGGCATAAATCATCAAAATACCGAATATCGGTAGGTACCGTTACATGGGGGCTATACCAAAACGTGGACCTATACATGCAATGTTTTGCCACACGCTCAGGGACCCGTCATGACCTACAAATACCAATTTTCAGATAAATCCGTGAAAAAATGTGGCATAAATCATCAAAATACCGAATATCGGGAGGTACCGTTATATGGGGACTATACCAGAACGTGGACCGATATATCTCATTTTCAATACCAACCATCCTAGGGACAATACACACACTTGTGCCAAATTTCAAAGGTCTACGTCAAATAATGTGTGCTCTATCGTGATTTCAACAGACAGACAGACAGACGGACAGACAGACAGACAGACAGACAGACGGACAGACAGACGGACATCGCTAAATCGTCTTAGAATTTTATGCTGATTATGAATATATATACTTTATGGGGTCTACGACGAATATTTAGAGGTGTTACAAACGGAATGACAAAGTTAATATACCCTCCTACCCATGGTGGAGGGTATAAAAACATATACCAACAGTAATCTAAATATCAAATTTCAGAATTTTATCTGTATCCCTTCACCCAATACAGGGTGAGATAAAAAACTGCGACAAGGTCAAACACCATAATCTTTACATTTTTTTTTAAAATTTCATTGAATGAAAGCAAAAATTTTCGGAAATAGCATCAAATTTTAGAATAAGTTTAGATTTGTTCAAATTGGTCACCTTTGGCATGAATTATGTCCTTCAAACGGCCAATGAAACCGTCACACGCTGCTCGAATGTTGCTCTGTGGTATTTTAGCCCATTCTCGGCGCTAGCTTGAGGTGATCGACACTTTGATTTATTTTAGTGCCATCCTTGCTTTCTAAAATACTCAACGGACACAATGGTCCCACGGATTGGTATCCGGAGATTTTGGTAGCTGGAAATGAAGCGAGGAACTTCATTTTGTAAGCATTCTTGGGTGGCGCGTGCTGAGTGCGATGGTACTGAGCCCTGTTGGAATGTTCAAACATTAATACACCCTCCAGAATATTTTCGCGATAATATTCGGCATTTATTCTGATGTCACGGTCGATTAATACGAGTGGAGAGCGACCATCGGATGTTATGGTGGCCCTCACCATCACCATGGCCGGCACTTGAGTTCTGGTGGCCAACCGAAGGTGCACATTTTCAGCTGACCTCTTTGGCAAGTAAACACGATAATTTTGTTTGTTTACAAACTGCTGGACAATGAATGTTTTCCAATTCGGGAAAACCAAATTCGGCAGTTCACCACTTTTGGCTAAGCAAAGCTACTCTTTAACTCTTTTGAGTCTATTTTCTTTCCGTTGCGGTGTAAGTTCTTGCACTTTTTGGAATTTCAATGGCTTTACCCCGAGCTCATTTTTCCATATTTGCCAAATGGAATATTACGATATGTTCAGCTCACGAGCCATTTTCGGCCAATGCGACGCAGGTTTCGATCAAGTGGCTTCTTTACTTTTCGAACCATTTCTGCTGATGTTTATGTTTTTTTCCGTCCACTTCCTCCAGTATCACGGTAACGAGCGATGGTACGAGACACAAACGATTTATTCACATTTAAATGCTGGAGTGCTCTAACGATTGCCACTCGTAGTTTTCCAGCCAAATATGAAGAAATCACACTATCACGCTTGAATTCCATCACGAATAACTTATTTTTTCTGCAAAATGCTCACCAAAATCGGACGAGTAGCTTAGAAATGACAGCAGTCTGAAGTTGGTTGCAGTTTTTTCATCTCACCATGTATATCATTGTATATATCACACAGACCGAAAGACAGACAGATGGACCGGCATGGCTCGATTATTCCCCAAATATCCTAAAACTGATTTCGTAAGAGCCCTACGATCTAAAACTGATATTTTGATACGTCAAATTTTGTCGCCATCAAATGAGGATATAAATACGATAATGTGCCTTTCGGCGAAAAAGGAAAATAATATAGTCATCGGTTGCACATATCTCCCCAATCCTTCTGGGAGTGAAAATGAACTTGTTTCAGATTGCAGCTGCATGCATTTTACTCAATCGTGTTATTTTTATGGCCTGGCAAGACATCTTCATTAGTTGAAAACCAAATACCCACACTTGCTACTCATTAAATGCAATTATAATTTCTCTCTCGCACTCTCTTAATCTTGCAGGCAGGCATTCCTCCGAATACCGTTGATTTGTTTTTCTTTTGACATTTTACATAACAATAAAAATTTGAATTGCTGATAAATTTAAAAGAAAATTTCCCCCATTTTAAAATTAATGTCAATTGCGTTTGTCCCCGCTTCCCCACCCCAAAAATTGGTGGTTTGTCATTCCGAAATGCTTGAAACGACAGTCCGCAATGTGAGTGAGTGAGTGTGACGTGATGAAGACAACAGAAATGCACTTTTCATTTAAGCCATGTTAGTATGCACTCTTGGTAATGTGTAAATAATTAACATACATTCATCGATCGATCGATCCAACCGTCGTACATTCCTCCACCTCCCGCATGTACACGAGCACACACAGATACAAATAAAATGGCTAGAAATACTGGCAACCGCTTTTTTTACGATTAAATCATAAACTAAAAACCCGATGCGACACAAATACAAAAACTAAAAATAATCAAAAGAAAAACAAATTCATGGCGCGGGACATGGTATGCTGCTGTCAAGTGCATTACAATCGTAACGCTTACTCCACGGCAACGTCTGAATATTTTTCACAGCTTAATGAGCTGGATAAACATTCACTTGGAAGCGGGTAACTCGAACTAATATATTATATTTTTTTTCTATCAATACCGCGAACAACATTGTACGAAGTATTTGTACATGTACCGAACATTGATCACGTCTCACCAACACTTCGAAAACATAGCTACACTCCTTGTGTTTTGGTAACAGCAGCGCAGCATACTAATATCTCATTGGCCCAAAACTGCAAATTGCTTTTTAGCCATTTAAACAAAAATTTAATTGCACAGACTTTAAAGCTCAATTGACATTTTTTTTGTTTGGGATTGGTTCGGTTTCAAGGAAAAGAATCTATAAAGTTTCTATGGAAAATATTTAAGCTGCAGCTTAGGCAAGAATAGATCATTTTGCAGTGAAAAAATTATTATTTTGTCTTAACTTAATTTTATTAAAATATCTATATCCAAATACGAAATTAAAATATACCAAATACAATATAAATTTAAACAAATTTAATAATGTATTTATCTTTTACAGGATTGAAGCTGACAAATTTATGATTTCATAAAAAGGTAAGTCACGCATTTTTCTAAACAAGAAAAACCAAGGGAATAAAATTTTAAATTACGATTTACTCACGTTTTTTTAATCAACAAATCAGTTTACAAATATTGACGTGATTAAACCTTAAGAAAAATCACAAAACCCATACATAATATTCTAAAAAATTCAAGAACTCTTTAACAATATATCAAAAAACAAACTTTTCAAAAACACATTTAAAAACATTACAAACAAATATGTTGTAAAAAATACAAGATTCTTTTAAAAATACATACATTTTTTTTTTCAAAAAATTGTTTAAGAAATCCATTGTTTAAAACTACACGAAACCCTCCACAAATCCATTGACATTTTTTTTTAAAAATACACGAATCACTTGAAGAAAGTAAAAGTAAATCCACGAAACCCCTTCCCTTCAAAATTTTTTTTAAAAATCCACGAATCTCTTAAAAATTTAAAAAAAGTCAGATTTCTTGTAAAATTATTAAAAATTCCACGAAAAACTATTAAAAATCCCTTGAAAAGTTATTAAAAATCCACGAATCTCCTAAAAAATATACGAATACCTTGAAAAATTATTAACAAACCCACGAATACCTTGAGAAATTATTAAAAACTCCGCGAATTGCTTGAATAATTATTAAAAATTCCATGAATCTTTAAAAAATGTTGAAAATATTCCCGAATTTCGTAATTGTTTTTATTTTATTTCACGAGATGGGTTTAGATATTCACGAATCTTTTAAAAAATCCAGCAAACTTTTAAAAAATTAACAAAACATTAACTTGAAAAAATATTAATTATAAATTATAAAAATATAAATTTAAATAAATATTCACGAATCTCTTCATTTTTTAAATACATTTTTTATAGATATAATAACATAACTACGGTATTCCGAACAATAATTCCTACAATGTATTATTTCTTTTAATAAGTATTTGGAAAAAACTTGCAGAATGTAAAAAAATCTTTTGAAATGTGCCGCTTTAATTTTAAAAATTCTGAATATAAGGTGCTACAGATAAGGTGATGTCTATTACCAAAAAGTTTAAGATAATTCTGTTGAAAAATTTAGTTTAAATCATAACAATACAGAATATTGGGAGGATCAATTATATGGGGCCTATACGAAGGAGTGAATTTGTGTAGGCAATTTTCTGTTCTGGAAGTATCCATTGCGAACTCTAAATTCCAAGTTTGAAATAATTCAGAGAAAATTGTAAAAAATCCTCGTCTATGTTGCCTTGGAACTTTGAACTGTGCCGAGCTTTGAATACCCTCCACAATTTGAAACGAATTTGGAAACTAAAAAAAATTAAATCCGTTAAAAATTCTGTTAAAATCTTAAAAATACCGAATATAGCCGTTATATTGGGGTCTATACGAAGACGTGGACCTACATAGACAACTTTTGACATAAGCCACTACAATATTCGAATACGAAACTTGAAAAAAATCCGGTGAATTATGAACCTAAAATTGTCAAAATACCGAATATAGGTAATGATATTTTACGCGGATCAAGAATATATATACTTTGTAATGTCTAAAATTATTATTTCGATGAATTACAAACGAACTTAATATACATATCCTCCATAGTATATATCCACGCTAATGTTGGCTTAGAAAAAAATATTTTTAAAATATCCAGCCCAAGGTTGGCTCAGAAAAAAATTATTTTTAAAAAGACGAAAATATTAAAAATAAAATCCACGCTTATGTTGGCTCAGAAAAAAAAATATTTTTAAAAATCCAGGCTAATGTTGGCCCAGAAAAAAATGAAACCTGGCTTATCTTGGCTCAGAAAAAAAAATGAAACCTGGCTTATGTTGGCTCAGAAAAAAAATTAAATCCTGGCTTATGTTGGTACAGAAAAAATATTTTTAAAAAATCCGGACTAATGTTGGTTGAGAAAAGAAAACATCAAAAAAAAAATGTTGGCTCAAACAAAAATATTTTAAAAAATCCACGCTTATGTTGGCTCCGAAAAAAAATATTTTTAAAAAATCCACGCTTATGTTAGCTCAGAAAAAAATATTTTTTATAAAACCAGGCTTATGTTAGCTCAGAAAAAATTATTTTTAAAAAGTCCACGCTTATGTTGGTTTAAAAAAAAAATATTTTAAAATATCCACGCTTCTTGGCACTTATAAAAAAGCCGCGCATGTGTTGTCCCTGGAAAACATATTAAAAAAACACACACTTGCGTTGCCTCTTAAAAAAATATTTTTAAAATCCACAATGTGTTTTTATTATTTTTTAATCCTTTTTTCTAAATTCTTGAAATGTTCTTGTCCTTTTTGAGATATTTTTTCAAATACTGCGATTGACCTTTTTGAAAATCCTCATTACACTTCTCCTAGTCCTTGAATCATTTCTCATTTATTTTGATGGACAGCTGAGTCAGATAGTTGTGCAACTCTCTTGGCTCAGAAAAGAAATATTTTTAAAAATCCAAGCGTATGTTGACTTAAGAAAAATAATTTTTCAAAAATCCACGCTTATGTTGGCTCAGAATAAATTATTTTTAACAAATACTCGCTTGTGGTGGCTTAGAATTTTTTTTAAATCCAGGCTCAGAAAAATTTATTTTTAATTAATCCAGGCTCAGACAATTTTTTTTAATTAATCCAGGCTTATGTTGGATCAGAAAAAAAATATTTTTAAAAAATCCTCGCTCATGTTGGCTTAGAAAAAAATATATTTAAAAAATCCAAGCTTATTTGGCAATTAAAAATTATTTGTAAAAAAAGCCGCGCAAGTGTTGCCCGTGAAAAAAAAAATTAAAATGACACACTTTTGTTGGCTCTTAAAAAAATATTTTTAAACATCCACCATGTTTTTTTTATTATTTTTTTACTCCTATTTTCTAAATCCTTGAAATGTTCTTGTCCTTTTTAAGATATTTTTTGAAATACTGCAATTGACTTTTTTGAAAATCCTCATTACACTTCTCCTAGTCCTTGAATCATTTCTCATTTATTTTGATGGACAGCTGAGTCAGATAATTGTGCAAATCTCTTGGCTCAGAACAAATATTTTTAAAACTTCCAAGCGTATGTTGGCTTAGAAAAAAATCATTTAAAAAAAAACAAGCGTATGTTGGCTCAGAAAAAATTATTTTTAACAAATACTCGCTTGTGGTGGCTTAGAATTTTTTTTTTGAAATCCAGGCTCAGAAAAAGATTATTTTTAAATAATCCACGCTTATTTGGCACTTGTAAATTATTTAAAAAAAAAGCCGCGCATGTGTTGCCCGTGAAAAAAACATATTAAAAAGAAACCCATTTGTTGGCTCTTAAAAAAAATATTTTTAAACATCCACCATGTGTTTTTATTATTTTTTACTCCTATTTTCTAAATCCTTAAAATGTTCTTATCCTTTTTGAGTTATTTTTTGAAATACTTTAATTGACTCTATAAAAAATCCTCATTACACTTCTCCTAGTCCTTGAAAAATTTCTCATTTATTATGTTCCCTATAAAATATTTCGATGGACAGCTGAGTCAGATATCCATCAGTCAGATAATTGTGCAACTCTCTGCTGCTGCTGATATTCGCTGGCAATGTAATGAAATATTGTAATAATTGGATGCATATAAATGCATTAATTTTCATCTGCGCATGATTAGCGTAGGGAATCAAATCGCCTTTAGAATTCATTCATAGAATAATGATGCGATATTGTATTTTTATTTTTGAAATCTGACTTGAATACAAATATTGAATTTACATACAACATACAGATCCTCGTCGTCATCATTATTCCAATTGTTGTTGTATTAGAAAGAGAGAGAGAGAGAGAAGTGTATAGAGACAAAAGTAATCATTCAAATCAATAACCAATTGTTGTAATCCAGCCAACTTTTCACACCTTCAGGCAATGCCGATGAAGAACAGTAGATTTTGTGTATAATCTATTTTCAACATCTCCGGCAATATCCTATGTCCATGATCTGCCATCCTGTCCTGACTATTTGTTAAGCTGTCAGTATTTCAAACTTGATGGCTTGTGGCTGCATCAGCCAACGACATTGTTGCCAAAAGCTTTTGGTCTGGTTGGCTGGTAGTTAAGTCCGTTTTTTATTCGCCCTGTTGTCCATACTTCACCATCGTTATGGGTCGGCCAATAATGGATGACATGTGTCATTTAAAAAAAAAAAAAAAAAAAACAGACGATTGGGGCTATCCTGGTAATGGCCACAAGAAATCAGAATAAACAAGCCAGCACTACTTAGCATCATCATCGTGATCGTAATCATGATAATTATTACGTTCCCTGTCTGGCCTTGGTCTACAGAAATTCTAGTCGGATTAGTTGAATTTGCAAGAAGGCTCTAATTAATTACCTTCTTTAGTGGCAAAAAGCATTGCACGAAAATTTTCCACACTAATAAAAACATGCAGAAATCCGTACTAGACTCCATCCACTCAGGTAATCTGAAGCCATTAACTTCCACATTAGATAACTTTAGAATACAAAACCGGTCGCTCTTTTTTTAAATATTAACTGCTAATAAATCTGCAATTTGTTTTTAATTTTTTAAATGCATTCCGAAACAATTTTTTTATGATTGTAAATAAAAATACTTAATATGTATAAAGAATTGTCAGGTTAAGTGGTGGAAATGCATTCCGACGCCTCTGTTTTTTTTTATTATTTTTAATTTTCAATGGATCCAAATGTCACGTAAAAATAAATTACAAATGGTATTGAAGTTTTGCATGGATGTTTAGATATTTACTATTTTTTTTAGATATTTAAGGCCTAGTCTGATTACCATCCGTTCCAAATAAAATTTTGATTTCAAGTAGGAAATATATTTAAATACATATTTTATTTCTTGGAAAGGGGTCCAATGCTATGATTGTGGACTTTATTATTATATTATATATGTCTAATAAGATTAAACGGTATTGTAAATGAAGATCTACAGATTTTCTATGTATTATGATGCCTAATATCTCTAAATATAACAAATTCTCGAGATCCTCCTTGA